CACAAGCAGAAATAATATCGAATTTTTGGGCACAGAGTCCGACAAAATGATTGATTATGCTTTTGATACCACAGCTGATCTAAGCAAAGTTAGTAGTCAAAACACATATGATAAAGTTGAAATTATAACTTGTGACTCTGAGGAAGAAGAGGCACAGGTGATTTCATTAATCATAAAAAATGAAGGCTCTGAAAATGTGTCATTTTTTATCAGTAATCAACTGCTTGCAACACGCGTAGAATGCTTGCTTGAACAAAATAATATAGAAGATTATCCATATATAACACTTTTGCTTTATAGTATTGAAGTATTAACCTCAAACTGGAACAGTGTCGAACTACTTTCACTTCTTAAACACACACTAGTAACCTTTGGTTACACTAGAGAAGAATATAGTAAAATACTCTCAGAGTTTGAAATAGAAATATTGCGTAATTTCAGCATAAGCGATCTTGAAGGGATTATAAATATTATCAACAAACACAAAAAAGTAAAATATAAGAAAGATATATTGATAATTATCAACAAGTTAAAGGAAATATATAATCCTTTACTTGATATGATGAATTATTCTATTTTTGAAGTAGCTACAGCACATTTACAATGCGTTGATATGTTATCTGATTCGCATTTTAATAATGAGTTTATGACCCACTTCCTTACTGCTTGTAAGGATATAAAAATAAAATGCTCCTTAGAATTATATAGAAAAATACTCACTCTATTTCTTAAAAAACACCTTTCCCCGAAGGCAAATAACCTAAGCTTACATAAAAATAAAGTTGTAATAATTACAGACTTCAATGAAGCACCTAAAAATTCATTTTTAAACTCACTCATGGGAGATGTACAAGAAGAGCAAGGATATTTTCTATATACCTTATACAATTTATTCTGCGCACGTAAGATCTATGTTACAAGGTCACTAAATCATAGAAAATCAATTCTGTTACAACGCATTGAGATGCTGTTTCAGACAAAACAGCCTTATAGAGACTGGCTAAAAATGCTAAATACGCCTGAGTATGTGCTGCCCTGCATGCAGCCTACACCAACACCAAACACTGAAGTGAGAAAGAAAAAAATGCAAACAATATCTTGCAGTGCAGTAGAAAAATTAATCCGTAATCCTTATTCATTTTACGTTGAACACATACTTAATCTCAAAAAATTGCGAGACCTAAACTTTAAACCATCAATATTAGAGTTTGGCATCTTAGCACATAATATCTTCGAACAATACTCACACAATAAAGACAATGATTGTATGAATATTGCAAAAAAAGAGTTTTTTTCTAGTCATTTTAACTTCTCAAATATGTGGTGGATAAGGCTACAAAAAATCATTCAGTCCTTTGTTGAACTTGATAAAACTAAAAATCAGTGTATTGAAGCAGAAAAAAGCTTTTCTCTTTTCATTTTAG